ATGCTTTTCGTTGAAGGAATTATCAAGTATGGGTGCAATAGCAACGATCTCATGTTTAACATAAGGAACTATAGCAAATTCATCTTCATAAATATTTGCATCATGGCCACAAGAATAGCAAGCATCATGTTCATCAAGGGATATTTCAATCAAATCATCGGAATCATCATTATCTATAGATTGATGCATATCATTATTTTCTTCCAAAGCAACGGTCATTCTCTCAATAAATTCTTTGACATAGACATTATGAGCATAATTTTCATAGCAATATTTAAGTATGTTAAAAATTTCAGATTCGTAGAGAGTAATATCATACTTTTCAATCAAAGAAGCAACTTCATAAGCACCCTTAAAAGCAACAAATTCTTCAATTTGTTTGATATCATAGTAACTATAAACACCCTTTGCATAAGAAGATAAGATTTCATTTTCATTAAACTCACATAGGTAGGGAAGGTGTTTTTAGGGTTCTTAGAGCAACATGTAAACTCATAAATTTCACAAAGATTCCAAGCATAACACAACAATCTGTTTATTTGATCCCATAAGAATCTCCCTTTTTCAGACAAATGGTGACGCACAAAATGAGCATGCTCAGCTAAAGATTTCCCATCAACTAGTCTAGTTGGGGTTTCAGCACGAGCACATAAGGATCAAAGATGATCCAAGTAGAATACTTTAAGTAGATCCATATCAATAGATTTTTAGCAAGCAAAGATGCAGGCAAATAGAAGGCACATGGTAACACAAGCAAACAATATATCTGGCGAGAAAAAGGCAAACGAAAAAGACGGCGAATAAAATGGCAAGGGTGAAGTGGGGGAGAGGAAAACGAGAGGCAAATGGCAAATAATGCAATGTGAGGGATAAGAGTTTGTGATGGGTACTTGGTATGTCTTGACTTGTGCATAGACTCCCCGGCAACGGCGCCAAAAATCCTTCTTGCTACCTCTTGAGCACTGCATTGGTTTTCCCTTGAAGAGGAAAGGGTGATGCAGCAAAGTAGCGTAAGTATTTCCCTCAGTTTTTGAGAACCAAGGTATCAATCCAGTAGGAGGCTACACGCAAATCCCTTGTACCTGCACAAACAAATAAGAACCTTGCAACCAACGCAATAAAGGGGTTGTCAATCCCTTCACGGCCACTTGCAAAAGTGAGATCTGATAGAGATGATAAGATAAATATTTTTGGTATTTTTGTTGTATAGATTGGAAAGTAAAGATTGCAAAACAAAATAGATCGGAAACTTATATGATGGAAGATAGACCCGGGGGCCATAGGTTTCACTAGTGGCTTCTCTCAAGATAGCATAAGTATTACGGTGGGTGAACAAATTACTGTCGAGCAATTGATACAAAAGTGCATAGTTATGAGAATATCTAGGCATGATCATGTATATAGGCATCACGTCCGCGACAAGTAGACCGAAACGATTATGCATCTACTCCTATTACTCCACACATCGACCGCTATCCAGCATGCATCTAGAGTATTAAGTTCATAAGAACAGAGTAACGCATTAAGCAAGATGACATGATGTAGAGGGATAAACTCAAGCAATATGATATAAACTCCATCTTTTTATCCTTGATGGCAATAATACAATGCGTGCCTTGCTGCCCCTGCTGTCACTAGGAAAGGACACCGCAAGATTGAACCCAAAGCTAAGCACTTCTCCCATTGCAAGAAAGATCAATCTAGCAGGCCAAACCAAACTGATAATTCGAACAGACTTGCAAAGATAACAAATCATACATAAAGGAATTCAGAGAGATTCAAATATTGTTCATAGATAATCTTGAGCATAAACCCACAATTCATCGGATCTCGACAAACACACCGCAAAAGAATTACATCGAATAGATCTCCAAGAGAATCAAGGAGAACTTTGTATTGAGATCCAAAGAGAGAGAAGAAGCCATCTAGCTAATAACTATGGACCCGAAGGTCTAAGGTAAACTACTCACACATCATCAGAGAGAATATGGTGTTGATGTAGAAGCCCTCCGTGATCGATTCCCCCTCTGGCGGAGCACCGGAAAAGGCCCCAAGATGGGATCTCACGGGTACAGAAGGTTGCGACGGTGGAAATAGGGTTTCGTGGAGCTCTCGGATGTTTTCGGGGTATATGAGTATATATAGGCGAAAGAAGTCGGTTGGGGGAGCCACGAGGGGCCCACGAGGGTGGGGGGCGTGCCTACCCCCCTGGGCGCGCCTCCCTACCTCGTGGTCGCCTTGTTGCTTCCTTGACATCCACTTCAAGTCTCCTGGATTGTGTTTGTTCCAAAAATCACTCTCCCGAAGGTTTCATTCCGTTTGATATTCCTTTTCTGCGAAACACTAAAATAGGCAAAAAAACAACAATTTGGACTGGGCCTCCAGTTAGTGGGTTAGTCCCAAAAATAATATAAAAGTGTATAATAAAGCCCATTAAACATCCAAAACAGATAATATAATAGCATGGAACAATCAAAAATTATAGATACGTTGGAGACGTATCAGTGCCCCCCTCCCCCGTATATAAAGGAGTGGAGGGGGGAGGGCCGGCCCTGTATGGCACGCCCTGGAGGAGTCCTACTCCCACCGGGAGTAGTATCCCCCCTTCCCTAGTTGGACCAGGAGAGGAAGGAAGAGGGAGGAAGGAGGAAGGAAAGGGGGGGGGGCGGCCCCCCACCCAATTCGGATTGGGCTTGGGGGGCGCGCGCCCTCCTAGGCTCCCTTCTCCTCTCTCCCACTATGGCCCAATAAGGCCCATATACTTCCCGGGGGGGTCCGGTAACCTCCCGGTACTCCGGTAAATGCCCGAACTCACCCGAAACCATTCCGATGTCCAAACATAGTCATCCAATATATTGATCTTTATGTCTTCACCATTTCGAGACTCGTCATCATGTCCGTGATCATATCCGGGACTCTGAACTACCTTCGGTACATCAAAACACATAAACTCATAATACCGATCGTCACCGAGTGTTAAGCGTGCAGACCCTACGGTTTCGAGAACTATGTAGACATGACCAAGACACGTCTCCAGTCAATAACCAATAGCGGAACCTGGATGTTCATATTGGCTCCCACATATTCTACGAAGATCTTTATCGGTCAAACCGCATAACAACATACGTTGTTCCCTTTGTCATCGGTATGTTACTTGCCCGAGATTCGATCGTCGGTATCTCCATACCTAGTTCAATCTCGTTACCGGCAAGTCTCATTACTCGTTCCATAATGCATCATCACGCAACTAACTCCTTAGTCACATTGCTTGCAAGGCTTATAGTGATGTGCATTACCGAGAGGGCCCAGAGATACCTCTCCGACAATCGGAGTGACAAATCCTAATATCGATCTATGCCAACTCAACAAACACCATCGGAGACACCTGTAGAGCACCTTTATAACCACCCAGTTACGTTGTGACGTTTGGTAGCACACTAAGTGTTCCTACGGTATTCAGGAGTTGCATAATCTCATAGTCATAGGAACGTGTATAGGTCATGAAGAAAGCAATAGCAAATAAACTAAACGATCAAGTGCTAGGCTAACGGAATGGGTCAAGTCAATCACATCATTCTCTAATGATGTGATCCCGTTAATCAAATGACAACTCATGTCTATGGCTAGGAAGCTTAACCATCTTTGATTCAACGAGCTAGTCAAGTAGAGGCATACTAGTGACACTCTATTTGTCTATGTATTCACACATGTACTAAGTTTCCGGTTAATACAATTCTAGCATGAATAATAAACATTTATCATGATATAAGGAAATATAAATAACAACTTTATTATTGCCTCTAGGGCACATTTCCTTCAGAATCATCAATGTTGAGGAAGTCACAGTCAGCTACCCATTTCAGTCTAGACCTTCGCTTGGGGGTGGTGGGTCGAGACGGAGGCCCTCTCAGCAATTTTAACCCAATTCTACCGAAAAATTCATGCACTTGCAATTCAAAAGTTTATTGTATTCACTAAATGCATAGAAATGCACTTGGTGCATATAAAAGAAAATGCAAGGAGAAAAAAATGGAAAAAAGAAAATATTGTAGGCAAGAACAAAGCATAAAGGGAAAAATGAAATCAAATAATATGCACACGGAAAGAAATAAGAGAAAGGAGAAGGAAAAACAAAAAATGAGTGTTTGCCGAGTGCAGAAAAAAGTTGCTCGGCAAAGAATTCTTTGACGAGTGAAAAAAAAACTTGACAAAGAAATGTTTGCCAAGTGCTGAAAAAAGCACTCGGTGAAGAACAGTTTGCCAAACGCAAAATAAATACTCAAGAAAGGTCATATTTCTGGGGTCCTTCCCTTTTTGAAAAAAAAGAAGAAAAAAAGGTCATATTTGCCTAGTACCCGATGAAATGCACTAGGCAAAGTTTAGCCTTCCAGTAATCCGCGGTTTGTTGAGGGTTCACTCCCCATCGACACTTTGTGTTATCAGTTTCATTTTGAATGAAATTTAATTGGAAGCTCTCCTCCTCAACTCGAAAAAAAAAACATGTATCATTTCAACATACAAACCTCACCTGCTCAATGCAATTTCTCAAGTAGTGTTGCTCGATTTGCATGTATTTCACAGCCTATTTGCTAAGGTATTCATAGTCATGTTTTTTTTTTGGCTTTTCCCCAGAAGAAGCCATAAAGAGAAACAAAAAACACATAGGTAGACAGATGGCGAGGAATCACGCATGTGTCAACAGTTGGGCATATATGCATGTTGCGGTTGGTACGTACCATACGTGCTTGTATCTTGCGGACCAGCTCATGATTTGGTAGCCTGACAATACTAGTTTAATTAGGAATCAGGGATAGGTAAATAAATACTAGTCGACTCCATTGTGATCGGATTCTTCAGCGCACTAATTAAATTGTGGGTGGTTCACTCATAGAAACACAGTTGGTAAGCGCAAGAGAAGATCATAGTACATATATTTACATGTGGCCGGATTCACTTTCAAAACACAACATGTACGTACAACTGGGACGTTAGTGGTCGAATTATAGTACGTTAGATACATCATCGTCTCTCTGCGCGTGTGATGCTTCCTCGAGGGACACTTGGTAGAGGTGTTCCGCCATGAGCCACAGGATGGTCGTGAGCTCGCCGCCACTGTTGAGCTTCTTGGCATGGGACTCCCTGCTGCACTTGTTGCCCGCGTAGACGAGAATGTCCGTCCACACCTCAAGCACAAGGTCCAACGAGTCGGCCGTGCCGTCGGCTCTCTCCTTCTGTAGCAGCCGTTTGGCAAGTCGGGCTACGTACGTGAGACGGGGAGCGTCGTGGCTGAACCTTCGGCTCGCATACTCATCATACAGTCTGTTGGCGAGATCACGTCTCTCGGAGGCCCTGGAAGTGCCGGAAGCCGGGCCATCACGCACGCGGAACAGATTCTTGATCATACCTCTGCGTCGGCGGTTTGGGTGCTCAGGATCATCTGTCAACCGCATGCTGACCAGATTCTCGCAGGTACGTTGGTACAACCTGTTTTGGGGTTGGCCTGGGAGCATGTAGGGGCGATCCACCATGAGGAACATCATGTAGTCGGACAGCATCACGATGGCCTCCACGCGTGGCGCCGCGTCCTCGGCCTTGGCTCTCTCGCTCTTGGCCAGGAAGATGTCGGTGGCGATGTGCCAGATGATGATGCCCTCCTGGAACTCCACACCCGGGGAGTCTTTCAGAATGCCTTCGTACAGCCCTCGACGGTCCAGCGGCTCCTCGCCCCACTTCTTCCTGAGCATGCCCAGGGAGTTGAGCGTCTCGTGTTTGTACAGCCGCCCCATGTGTAGGGAGATGTGTTTCTTGACTGAAACCGATATCTTGACGGTTCTTTTTTTTTTTAGAAAAGGAGGATGACCCCCGGCCTCTGCATCTGGAAGATGCATACGGCCACTTTATTGATTATTCACGATGACCATACAAAGTATTACACCAATGTGCCTGAATCCACCATCTTGGCAACATATGCCACTACTCCTATCCAATATGATGAAAGAGAGCTAGCCGGGCCACTACCCAGACCACTCACGTAATCCTAACATCAATAGCCGGAAGCCGAAACACATTCGGAAGCCCCAGCCGAGCCACATACCTGGTCTGGGGCGTAATCCGGTCAGACGCACTCGTGTGTCGTCGCCGCCATCTTCCACAGGTCCGTCTTCAGATCAAATTGAGGCATCTACCATGTCTGGCCACTCCGCCATTGACGCCACCATGACGCCAAACAGCAACCTCCTCCTGCGCGAGTCCATCTCCGTGCATCGGACGTCGAGCCTCCACAGCGCCACGCCGCCGACATCCGCCGCCATCAATGAGTGAGACGGAGCACCGCTCCACCCTCCCCCCAGCCAACGCTTACTCCAAAACGGCACCCCCAGGAGAACCTGGACGCGTCGGAGGAAAAGCGGAGGCTTGGGCGAAGAAGGGCACGCCGTCAGCAGCTGTTACCCACCCCAAACAGCGCCCGCCACCACCCAGCCCTCAAGGCGGCGCCTTCAAGAAGGTCACGGCGCCAAAGACGCCGCCGCCGCCCACCGGAATTAGGTTTTCACCCGAGAAGCTAGGTGGTGGGGAATGGAAGGGCAGACCTTGACAGACGTCTCCATGAAGAAATCGGCGCCCGCAGGCGTCGTCGTCGTCGCGGCCGGCCGTAGCCGACCCGGGTTTCCCCCGATCTGGATCCCGACCACCAAAATCGCATCATTGGGAGGCCCTTAGGCGGCAGCATAGGGAGGGGAGGCGAGGGGTGCGGCGGCGGCGCTATGGGGCGTCACCACCACGCCAGATCCCTTCCTCGCCGCCAACAGCAGCCGGCGGGCCAGATCGGGCGCGGACCAAATCTGGCGCCTAAGCACCCGCACGCCTACGCCGCAGCCACGGCCGGCCAAGCTCCAGGCCACGCCACTCCACCCACCCAGAGAAGGAGAAGCGCGAGACGAAGCAGAGGGCCGCCGGGGAGCGCCGCGACGGCCGCAGCGCCGGAGGCCGAGCCTTCCCCACCTGGAGCGGTCGCCGTCGTGGAACGACGCCGCGCGCGCGAGCGGGAAGCCCCGCCGCCGCCGTCCGCCGCGCGGGCTTCGCCCGGCGGTTTCCTCCGGCGGCGGCGCGGCAGGGGAGCCGGGGAGAGGGGGTGGCGGCGCGGCGGGCTAGGGTCCCCCCGAGTCGCCTCCCAGGCGACGCGGGGGTACGCGGGGGTACTCTGCCTGAGTAGTGCTTCCTGTCCCACCACCCGTTGGGTCCCAGCGTCCTGGCCAGCCTACCGAGCAGCGGGCTGGTGAGCAGTGTGAAGGCGGGGCGCGTGCACAAGTGCAGCATGTTGTACTGCCCGATGATGTATGACCACCTCCTCGATTTGTACCTGCTGGTGCTGCTACCACCAGGAAATCCTCCCTTGACAAGATGGTGAAGAGACACAACCCTACGCCGGAGACTGTCCCATCTCCCGTTGCACAGGGCTACGTACCGGAGCCATCGCCACCTGGTGGTGCTCAGGAACGCAAACGTCCAAGACGATCCTAGCGCGTTCACGAGCGACGTCGTCTCCATGAACAAGGCACCACCCAGCAGGACGTAGGTGATGGCCACGTCGGCTCCGATGTGGCTGTCCTTGGGGGTGAGCTGGAACAGCACCAGCGAGGCGGCAATGGTGAGCGGCGAGACGACACGGACCAGATATCCGGCAGCGGTGTGGACCACGGCCGCCTTGGTGTAGAGTACGTCGTACATGAGGGAGAGCTCGATCTCCATCAGCGCCCATAGCTCCACTTTGCGCATCATCTTGGTGGTGTACTGTTCCTGCCCCTCCACGGAGTCCTTCTCGATCACGGAAGAATCAACAATGGCACGCTTGCAGACGTGGAACAGCGAGTGGGCTCGTCGCACGAGGAATTCCTCGTCCGACGCTTCGTCCTGACGGTGGGAATGTTTATGGATGGCGGGCGGCTGCGTCTTGACCGAGGCACCGATGCTTTCCAGGGTGCCACACTTGAGCGCCCACGTCCTCTCCCCGTACTTGACAAATCCAACGGCGAACATCAAGCCGGAGGCAAGCCGGAGCAGCCGCCCGCTGCTACCTCCGTCGATGTTCTTGTGGATGACGCAGGCTGCCCCGAGGACCTGCACGACGAGGATTTGGAGGTGGCGAAGCCAGAGCTGGTTGTCCTGGAGGGCATAGGCGGTGATGTTGTCCGGGCCGCCGAGGTGCAGCAGCAGGAACGGCGCCCAGAACACGACGAGCTGATGCTCTCGCACGGTGCTGCTGAACGACAGGTGGCCGACGGCGTACACGGCCGTGGAGTCGGCCATGAGGTATGCTAGCCACAGGAGGAGCCTCCGCACGGGGAAGGCTTCACGCCGGCGGATCCCGGCCAGGCCTGATCCCGGCGAAGACGAAGAGGACGACCTGGGGCCCGAGGCTGAGGAGGACCAGGATCTGCATCGAACGGTGGTTCCATAGCTCCAGCGGCCCTCCACCAGCCATGTTAATTGCTCCACCTTTGTTTGTGCCGACTGG